CACAAATCATCGGAGTTTTGTTCGATATTCCGATTCTCATTGAGCATCACAGTCAGTATAATAAAACAAAGGGCAGGTTGGATTTACCATGATGTTTCTGTCAGCTCAGGGATACAGTTTCCGCCACGTTGCAGGCACACAAACGCTGTAGCGTATGGACCTGATTGCATCTGGTTAAATGTAGGAAGCTAGGTGTTGTTTATTGATCAGCTGGCTGTTGGCTATTTCTCAGAGCTTATAAGTCAGCCGCAATTTTTACCTGACGAGTTATAAGTACGGGAGCTTGAGGAAATTGCGGGCCAGATAATTGGGTTTTGTGTTTCGTGGGGCACAGTTGTTGTCCATTATTCGTTCGATGGGTTGACGTCAAGTCTGTGAATAAGTTTATTGATAGAACCGGGTGGGTTATCAATGATTTCCACCAGTGGCTGCTTTCCCTTGGACTGATTTACTTTTGTTTGACGCCTCAGTATGGCTTAACAAGCCTTCTTATTTCCAAATAAAAATACCGACTGGGTTTTTTTCACTAATATCAAATTAAAAACTTACAGTACATATCAGCGATGGGGGTCCCAGGCATTTGGCGTATGTGTCACTCGTCATGGGGAAAATATTATTGTGGAATATGGAACTTCGCCGACTCGCCAGCTCCAGGAATTCGGGTATGCACGCGGCCTCATGTCTTATTCGATGTTTAACCCTGTCGATGATGTCAGTTTATGCTGAAAAGTCGAGAAGCACTGTTCAGCTTTTTCAAACTTTTAATGAGAGAAAGAATAAGCTTCATAGCAGGATGTCGAACCAGACGAGTTCGGAATTCTCACCCAGAACATCAACACCCAGAACAGGATGTGGGACATGCCAGTGGAAACATTACAGCGAACAAAGGTCAATGGACCCCTAATCTGGTATTACGACTGTAAACATTATTGACCACCGGCCTTACCAAGGCAAGACATGACTAAACGCACATTCCGTTTGTTTGCTCGAAGAAAACTGGTGCATCTCACTGGAGCATTCAAGGCCGCGACTTCATGATGTTGCTCAACAAAACCCGACGGATATCCCCCCCAGGGAAAAGAGGGGGAAAAAAAACAAAAAAAGCCAGTCTCTCTGTTTACCTTCCACTTTGTATAACTATATCAGTGTAGTACGTCGGAAGGACGTTTTTCCTAAAGAATTTTTCAGCACTACCCAGAGAGGTCACCATGAGTGCGAGTGAATCCCACTGTTGATTAGTGACTCTGATAATTCTCAGTAAGGATGGGATAGATGTATACTGCTTTTCGGCTTTGCAGCACAGATTAATTTCACACACAGGACAAGATCTCCATAGAAAAGTTCCAAAATCTCAGGGTACCAATAGCATTTAGTAGTTTGAAATTTCCATCCGGCACAATTGTTCGCCATTTGCTTGATTGTATTAGACGCAAATAGCCAAGATGATAGATCAAAGTCATGACAAACTGGGATGACGCTTAGTCCGATGCGTATTCGCTGGAATAATGGTGCTCGACAGAAGTCAGACCGCAACATCAGATCGGTGGTTGCTTTAATATGTACAGCCGTTGAATACTCGTAACTTCTCTTTTTAGTATCGTTAAGACAACTTTTATTTTACAGTATGTGTTGTCTCCACAATTATCTTAAAGTTTTGGGACCAGACACATAGTGAACCGACGTTTTACGCCTGATTAATGCACAGTAATAAACAAAAATAATCGTTCATCTCTGACACCTTAAGGTGTCTAGCTGCGATTCCACTCTAAATAAACACGAAGGCTGGGATAGTGTCCTGTTGACAAACCTAGGGAACAGCAGTCGAGATGCTTGGTTGCGTCCAAACTAGAACTGTTAGCCAACCGTTTGGCTATACGTCCCGCGAAATTTTTACACAGACACGGCTTTCTGATACGGCCTTTGTCAGACTTTCACGAATTGAGCCAAAATTCCACGCCAATACATATTTTAGTACATCATATATTCGAGTGTGAAAAGATTTGTGATCAGAAAATGTTGGGTGTGAGGTTACAAAGTGGTCAAATCATCTGAACTAATAAAAACACGCAGGTAGACGAAGAAGGTGTAGCCTGAGGAGCTGTGCGTATTGTCTTCAATTCAGTAATCACTGACTGCACCGTCGAATATGGTTCTGTCTAACTGACCAGGCTGACTGAATTGAAACCCATTTGACTTTATTTACGGTTTCTGGGCTAGACAACAGGAATATATTTGTTCAACTAACAGAAACCACTCATGTCTTCATGTGAACTCTGGATAATGGTGGCTTATCGACCCGGTTGTATCGATCTGCTCACCGTATCAGTTTGATCGCTGATTTGCAAATGAGCAGTTTTCTGTTTACAAGGTAGCACTGACTCTGAACATGTCCTTTTTAAGTCGAACGCATTAAGGTCTGTCACGAACCACGCGATAAATTCACACCAAACTAGTTAGTTATCAAGTACACGTGACAAACTGATCGAAATTTATACTTCGAATGGCACTGGCAATGTTGAGGCCGTTGTGTACAGTTATTAATAATCTACACACTACAGCAAATCGGAGCTTAGAAAGTTGATTCTGAATGTGTAACATATGAGTAACGTTCAGCTTCACTCACCAAAAAATAACACGATTGTATGGCATGTTACTGAAAAAGAACTTGCTGATCCTTAACCCTTCGGAACTGTGTCATGTTGATGCCTGACTACATTGCTATTTAAGACACATCGTTTTACGTCAGCTCGACTCATTCTACTTAATCTATCCTGAACAATGCTCCAGAGAGGTGCGAAATGTCGTGACCAATTGTTCATATGCTTTTGTAGTCGACAGGCACAGCTGTCGATATCAGTTGTAATCGTATTAATGGTAATAATGGTAATTTACGCGCAATCCAACAGCTTCAAGGTTACATATGACCCGTAAACGATGATCGTTAGTTCCCGTATAAGTGTCGACAATTAATTCGACGAGACTGTGGGAGGTACAGCAAGCAGTTCAGGGCTGTGAGATTGCAGACAACGTCGTACACTGGCATAAAACTCTAAAGCTACTGGTCTCTTTGGATAGATGATGTAATGCGACTTTATATTGTTTACCACTGAAACAATAGAGGTGTTGAGGAAATCAGATTGCACCAAAGAACTCGCAATGGGGTCATGAGAAAGCAGCGATTTGGTTACGGGTGGGTAGTTTAATAACGGAAATCACTCAGCAACATCAAGTATGGTGACTTGGCCATGTCCCATGTATTCCGAAACATTGCCTACCTAGTGTCATCTTCCATGCACCCTTCAGAATGGTGAAAACTGAGAGATGGACAACGTATGACTTGACAGAATCGAGGATAATCTGAACCGTCTTCAAGGATGAGATGCACTTTATCCCTGCACTTTACTGGATCCATTGCAGGATATGGCGGCTCGTCGACGTTTGTGCGTTCCGCTTTCAGTTTCTTTCCAGATTGTCTGATTTAGCACGTGGTAGCGTAGGTAAATCAGACCGCTTGTAATATACCAGCGCCAGCTCTCCCCATCACGTACTCTTTTTTCTCATTTTCACTCAGGGACCATAAATATACCCAAATAAATTTGCCGGTTGTTCGGCAGTGAAGCAGCAATGTCAACACTGATGTTGCTACCTCTAATGATAAGAATGATGGTCACTTGATATTTAGCGAACCACAATGTCCTATGAATGATTCTGATGCGCAAATCTCCGACCACGATAGTCCGTGAAAGAAATGGCCTGATTCCACTCATCGAGCGTGTGCAGCTACTGCATTCGAAGGAGCTAAGACAACAGTGTGAAAACGAGTCGCCTGCTGTCCCACCTCCTGGTTTCCAAAAAACCGGATGGGATTCACCATCTTACGATTGTGTCTATCACTTTATGAAGTGCAAGATATGGGATTTACTCCCTTTCAATAGCGAACAGATCATAGAGTTGACTTGTCATCAAAAGCACGCCCAAAAGGTGTGCTGACGAAGGTTCAAACGAAGGTTCAAAACGAAGTTCAAGAGGAACCATCAAATGAACCGAACCAGAAGAACTAGACCCTAGGCAGGACCCAAACACATGTAGGTTTCCCCACCGACCCAACACTTGTTCAACCACTCTAACACACTAAAATCCCTCGGCCGACACCCAACAGAGATTTAGCTTGACTTAGCTGATTGGTTCTCCTTCCGCCTTAAATCTCGATCAACCTCGGAACCTAGTCACTTGGCCTGACGAAGCTTTTGTGTCAAAAGCGAAACGTTGCCCAGCAATAAATCTACCGATTGTCACCAAATTTTTTTCGAAAACAATAGCGTCGCTTTGTTTTCTGACCACGCTGTTGTTTATGTTACCTCCCCCGGGTACTTCTATTAGCACGTCTCGTTAAATGGATACACTATCCGCGGTAAACCATAGCCAACCAAATACGTATTCCTAGAGGAAAAGTGGCAACGCAGTTCACTTGAATTTGACTGTCCCGAATACCACGGTTTTTGAAAAACTCTGGGGAAACTGCCCACTTTATTGATTATTAGACGGGCTTTATACGGAACTCTCCAGTTGTATTTTTAAAGGCTGCGAAGCCTAAACAACAGCAGTCAAGGTGTTGGGGCTCGTCCGAAACTGGATAGTTCGCTTGCGCCATGACCACTGAGATACCTCGAACAGTGAAAAATTGTCTCAAGGTTGTATACCGTTTTTGCGACTGAGACGTAACTCGGTGCAGTAACAATCATGGGCAACAGAAGGCTGAACGAGGGATATTATGCTCTTCAGAAGGCTTCGAAAACCTCGCTGGAGCCAAATAAAGATGTAGATCTGCATTTAAATACAATTGAAAACTGTGAAAATTTCGAGGTCAACCATATTTCACGTGCTTTCTAAACATTACTCATCGTTTTTCCCGCACTGTGGTATTGCAGAACAGTCGGTCCGCGTTGCTGGTGAACCGGTGTTTCTTCGCATATTGAAACCATGGGCTGAGCACCACTCACGTTCTAGATAGAGTTCTCGAGTTGGCATTTTGCTTCTCAGTTTCGTGACCAGGCACTTGACAGGTACATTAACAAGACTTCCACGTAACCTGAAGCTTCGTGGTGCATTTTTACCCCTGAATCCCAAATGGACTTTTGCAAGATGGGAATTAGCTAACTGAAGCGAACTGTCCAGTTCCTGCACTTCGAGTAGTTTTATGAATATCAAAGATTGTCTGAATATTGTCTCGACATTTTGAAAAGTGGATTTTATGAGAAGAAATTTACAGGGCCGAACAAGAGTATTGATGCACGCGAAACTGGAAAACTTTACCGTGTGAAGAAACAATGGTCAAATTGGTTACGAATCATCTGCCACTGTGGCTGGTTGGATTCGTTCGTATAGCGGAGTTTCACCCTAAAAACGGTTCATCCTTGTCCTTATTAGAATTGTTGGCGTCAAAATCAGGCTTCATCAGTCCAATACCAATGTAACACCAAGGTACTGAGTGTTCCTCATAAATGTAGGCTGTGTGGATGTGAGCGAGCAATATGTTTGCCTTACTATAGGTTTCGCTGCAATTGCTGGTGGATTTGTCATGGCCGCACTACAACCACACTTCGTGCATCACTTTGTGCAAGGGTCCAAACTGCTGCGATTATTGCATCACGTAGATAACCCGGTCAATAGAGTTGCACCACCGCCATCATTGTCTTCGCCGCCCCCCGACCGTCAGGTACACTTGAACTGATTGACCTAAGGCCGACTGATCTGTTGTTACGTCTACTATGCTGCGCTATGCTACGCAACTACTGTGTCTACACAGGCCACCAACCACATGTGCGTGCTTCTGCGCAATCTCTTATCGATCCCAGAAAGTGTAACAGGTGCTTTTAAATACTGTGAGATAAGTACCTACATGGCGTTTTACGGTTTTGTGCTGTTATGAGCCTTGAGTGAGTATAATTTTGAAACGGTCTTTATCGTAGTGTGAATCAAGCGTTTTTACAAAGGACCTAAGCATCCTGCTGGTCAAACGAGCGGTTACTGGTTGATACAATCTCGATCAGCATTCGAATTAGTAATATGCTGTTATAATGTTATAAGCATAAGTATTGTAGTTTTCCAACTAGGGATTTTGTTTCAATGGCTAATTCTCATAGGAGAACCACCCAAAAGTACATCTAGATGGGCATGTGTGGTTGCGATTAGAAAACACTTGCTTTCAAATTAGTTTGGATCGATTGCATCAGAATAGTGAGGTCACTGACTCGATATAGTTCACACAGTTGAAAGCTTGATTAAATTGAGACAGTTTGCTTACCCAATAGGCGGTTTTCCACATTTGATTGAGGATTTCCCTGAAGACATAGGCTACAATCACCAGAGGAACTAAGGTTTCGTGTAACCGTTCGGATTAGTGCCATAGGGGATTGGACGAGCGGGTTTCATACCTGGCGCTATGCAACAACCCAGAAAGGTGGGCTATCGCTGATGAGAAGACATTCTGAATTGTGGTGACAGGCGTTTTGTGAGTTACCAACGTGATTCTTAACCCATTTTGGATCTTTTCCAGACAAGCCTTGCCAAAAAGTTAACCACCGCCACCCAGAAAAAGATTAGAAAAAAGAGGATATGAGATTTGTACTTTTAGTTTTTATTGAATAGGGTGAAATTGGGGATGTTATTAATAGTTTTCATGAAAAGGTCCGTTTTTAGGTATGTTTGCCTCCAACCGAACTCACAAAAGTAGCCATGTGTGAGCTTCACACAAAGTTTTCGGTATGACTGACCGTTTCATGAGTATAATTCATGTCAATCATCGTTTCAATTCCTTGGTATGATGCCCACATATCGGAGATGATGATTGAGCCGGGAGCGATGCAGGTCTAGATTGTGCCCGTCAGAGTGGCCGCAGTTCGATCTGCCACTGCATACATGAACACCTCTTTAGTTTCGCGGCAGATCCCTGTGAAAATCCACTGCTGAGGAAGGACTCGCTCTGCGTGGTTTTTACGACAAGATACTAACGTTTCATCGATCTCGACGTGTAGACCTGGGCCACCGATAATTGTTGCAGTCTGCAAAAGCCGCCAGGCACAAACTTCGCGAAGAAAGTTCATCCAGTCAACAGCGGTCGTGTGGCTAATAGATAATTCCTCTGAGCAGAATTTGATTTTTGCCAAATTTTGGACCAGCAATTACCCTCCTAAACTCCATCCTAGACCGCTCCAGCCAAGTTCCTTTTCGAAGACCGATTTCTTGCCGACACTGTCGGGCATCACACCTCCACCTGTCAGAAACAGTTGAAAGTGTCATTTGTTGGCCATTTTTTGTATAAACGTTGCTGATGGATCACTCCATGGCTTTGCAAAGAACGTATTGCCGTCTCCTTGTCATGAACGAGAGTTGAAAGCGTCAGAAAGTCCATTTAAAGTCCGAACGGAGAAAATTTTTGCACAAAATGAGCTTAGATGTAAGTAAGGAATCGTTTTCATCAAAAATAGGTCAAGGTTGTGTGCGTACATTAAATTGTGGTGGCAAAAATTGGCGGAGCTTAACTCTTCGCATATGCACATTTTGCATCAGTGGCGGGGTTTATCTGGAAAAGACCCCCCATTTTTTGCAGTCTCTTTATGGCGAATGTAAACTGCTCATCTGTGTGTCCACCTTATTGTCATGGCCGAAACGGTGAAATCTGCTTACCCGAAAAGCTCCTCTAAATGCACAGTCTTGCCAAGATTCTTGACTTCTCCTGGACAGCCAAACCACAATCGTTACCTGGCACCTACTAGACTGGACATAATGAAGATACCGTGAGAAGGTGACTTCCTTTCAGAGGGTTCTCCTTTCGATGTTAACTTCTGGTCTCTATTTTCTATTGCATTTAATTCCGTCAAGAAACGGATTTTACCACTATGTGACACTCATTTTGATAGTTACTGATCAAAGTTTGGTTTTGATTTGCTCACCAGGTGGACAGTCATTCGTTTGAGTATTTAGGTCATAGAAAAAGGTGCGGGCTTAGTGGGTGAAAATCACAGATACTCAGATTTCTGCAACGGTTCTATCCACTACATCACTGCAGTCAAAAATTGCCTTTAAAGAAGCGATAAAGGGTTTGGTGGTTCTGCTGATTATCAAAAACTTAGAAGAAAGAAAGAAGAAAGAAGAAAGAAAAAAGGATAACACCGTTTATGGATACTGCTCACAAAGCTTTTGACTGACACACAACACGGGTAGCTTCCTTGATCCATACACTGACTGGGGCGAGATTGCTCAAATGGTTAGAGCTCGGATTTACTGACCGAAAGGTCCGTTGTTCAAACCCGATCTCTGCCTCTCGGCTTGCTCTGTCCAGGCTTGGGCAACCTGACAGTATCCCAGCCCTCGTGCTTCCTTCGGGTAGCATGGCTGCTAGGCACCAGAAGGGTGTTACAGCTGAACGATTTCTTTCTTTTCTTACGCTGACTGGACTGAGTTTTTCTGAACCGGAAAGTAGTATCAAATGGTGGAAATACGGTGCAATGGGAACGACAGTCTGGTCACTCCGAGTTGGTTGAACTTGTGAAGATAAGTGAAACCAAGTATGTCGTGACAACAGGGCGAGTTTCGGCATCTTTACTCGTACCAATTAGTCCATACCTGTTCAAAGAGGAGTAATAACATACACGATGAACTAACCTTGCATCTGAGATCACATCTCTAGAACGTCCAGTCAACACGTGACCAAATGATGTGAATTTCGTGACTGAGGGACCAGTGACGCTATATCCTGTCCGAAAGCGAGTAATCAAAGTGACGATCAGCCGCTCGTGGCCGAACAGTTTAGTCTCCAAATACTTACCTGGAACTCGTGAGTTCCACTTGCCTTGGAGACCCTTGAGATGTGCGTGATCATGATGAGCTTTGTGACGAAACAGCTGTATGGTGCTTCTCCGCTTTTCGGTATAGAAATCTTTGCTATAACTGCCTAATTTCTTTGTACCAGCAGGGAAGTATATTTGACGACAAAACATGCCCTTTGTAACGTGGATTCTATAGTCTCAAACCAATGGAACTCTTCTTTCAGAATGTGATGGTTACGCATGCCGTTTGTACAAAATAAAAATCCCTATTCAGTATCTATAACAAAGAGTGAATGTCAATATCAACCGAGGTGATAATGAGCAAACACCATGCCAAAATAGTGCCCCCCCTCTGGGTTCGGTGAAAAATAGTGCACTTTCTACAGGGTTGGAAAAAGTGTGTGGACACTCCGTTCTTTTACATCTATGGGTCTGGTCGAACAAGTAGGAATCAAGCTTACACGGCATGCCGATGGATTTGACGCGCCTGAGTAATGCTCAGTTATCATGGGAAGAGAAAGATCTCAGTAAGCCACAGAAAGTGTTAATATTGGAAAACTGTAGTTCGGAATAAAAAATTCTCCGTTTCAAACTCACACCATTATTTCTGGCGCGGGTCCTTTCCAACACCACTAAAGCACTATAAAATGATTGACACACAATGGTGAATGAATACGCACAAGTTGAGGGAAAAAAGGCTATATGTTCCGTTTGAGGCATCTCCCATGTTCAACACGCACAAGTAGAGAATCCACCATGATTCTCGCAGAAAAGGTTAATGAATCAGAGGTCGTTATAATTAGGTATTTTCATTCGTATTGCGCTTCTGGTTTGACCCTGGCTTCACTCTAATCATTCCATGTTTCCACTGCTCTAACACTTTGACCACACGAGGTGGATGCGCAAATGAAACTGTCGGAAAGTGTGCTTTTTTTTCTACCGTCAAGTCGATTAAGACAGTTTTTATGAGTTCCTAATTCCATCTGGTAGTTATCTCAATCAAACAGAAGTACAGGATTGGCGCTAGCAATCACGAATATACACATTTTAGTTGATACACGAAGGAACCTGGTAGTTAATTGATCACCACAGCCACCCAGCACTTCTAGCTGGAAAAGTTTTTCAGTACGATACTTGAGGCTTGTTTCCTTAATTCGCTGTTTGTTCTTAACAACAAGGTGTGTTTGCTACCTGGTCGCC